GGTGGGGTAGCCTAGTGGTTAAAGCGTTGGCTCGTCACACTGAAGACCCGGGTTTGAATCCCCACATGGGTACAATATGTGAAGCCCATTTCTGGTGTCCCCCACCGTGATGTTGCTGGAATATTGCTAAAAGCGGCGTAAAACCATACTCAGTCAGTCAGTATTAACAACTGAAAAAGTGACCCACCATTACACTGCTTGACCTATCCTCAAATTCTTAGTGGTCACTTGACCTATCACTAAATGTTCAGGTCAATATGAAGCATAGTTCAACCGATCCTTTGGGGTTAAATATTCATTGGTTGCCAGATAGATGGTAAAAAAGTAATTATCTTAATATTTATGTAATTTAACACTTATTCGTTAACAATAATCCTATATTTTAACTAATACTTATAACATATATTTTAGTCTTATTGAAAAGCTGGTATAGTGGTGTGATGACTACCAGTCGATCCAAATTACATGGGGATGGTGGAGTAGCCTAATGGTGAAAGCATGTGCTTGTCAGACTGAAGACCAGGGTTCGATTCACCAGATCGGTACAAAATGTGAAGCCCATTTCTGTTGTTCCCTGCCATGATACTGCTGGAATATTGCTAAAAGTGGTATTAAACCATACTTGCACACTCACCCAAATTAAATGCAAGAGGAATTCATTTCGTTCTCACGTATTGTAAGCTGTTGTTAGCTTATGCAACATGAGACGTGACACTTCAGGCAGAACCTAAACAGATGCAAAATTATTCGTCACCTGGAACATTCTTTTCAACAGAATCAAGTCAATAGAGATATGCGACAGACTGGACCCATCAATGACTGAACCCATATTATAATATTTGTGCAGGTTTATATTAAACCTCTTATTAATGCTTGCTCACATTCAAAAGATTTCAGGTTATAGTATTTGATTTTCTTGTAATGTATTATTTTGAAATTGATTGAAAAAATGCTGTGTCTTGAAAATATGTTACAGTTATTAGAACCATGTTCTTATGTAGAGGTATAAATGTAAATATCAGTGTACACACTATATGTAAATATGTGGAAGTCAGTGAAATCATTCAGTTAAAGGGGCGGTGGGGTGGCCTAGTGGTTAAAGCGTTGGCTCGTCATGCCAAAGACCTGGGTTCGATTCCCCACATGGGCACAATGTGTGAAGCCCATTTCTGGTGTCCCTCGCTGTGATATTGCTGGAATATTGTAAAGGAGACATAAAACTAAACTCACACACTCACTCATTCAGTTAAAGAATGCACCCTGGGTAACGCCCATCTCATTAGCAGCCAATCAGGAAACAGTAGTGCATTAGTGGGCGTGGGCTAAATTGGGCGATCATGGCAACATAAATGCAAAAGGAATTTGGGTAGCGAGTCAAAAGCCCTGGAATTATTATTTACAATCAACCCTGTTTTTATCTCTGCCTTCAGTTTCAGTCTACTGATCGATACATTTTTGCTCATGAAAAGAAGTTTTGAAGATAGCAAGAATGTCTTTTTTTCTAATTGGGAAATGCTTTAAATGTCTGAGTCAGCAATTTGTACCAGTGAAGGGGTACTCAGAATCTAGAAATACAATACAGCTTCACGAACACAGTGTACAGTGGGACAAAAATATCGCTGCCGAATTTGTCTTCGATTTAGACAGGTGTTAATGTTTTCACAAGCAGGTGTGTTGGGGTGTTGACCATGAGGTGACCTTGATGGGACTCTGGCGCCAGCGTTGGTAAATGTTTTAAGTGACCACTGTTTATTTATTGGCCTTGTGTGTTTTCAATGAAGTTGTGGCCACGGCTAGTGTGCCCACTCCTGCAGGAATTCTTCCACTTTCGAATTTCAGTCAAATAATTTTTTATCTTATTTTGGTCAGATATTTGTGAAATATTTATCAGTTTTATTGATCTGATAGGTAGAGAGCCTGAGTGATTGGATGTTTCATGTGAGTAAGGTTATGTCAATTTTAGCAATATTCCATATTGTGGACAGGTAAATTATTTATTAACTTATATTGGTCAGATACTTGTAAAATATTTATCAGTTTTCATTGATCTGATAGGTAGAGAGCGTGAGTGATTGGATGTTTCATGTGAGTGAGGTTATGTCGATTTTAGCAATATTCCAGCAATAGAGTTGTTGACACCAGGGCCGTTTCACAAAGCTCTTGTAGGCTACGACTATCGTAGGTCAATGTTACAGTATAGGAGGTGTGAATGCTACAAGTTACGGGATCTTAGGCTTACGAGAACAGTTTCGCAAAAAATGTACTGCAATACATCATATTGTGAATTTTGAATTGCAATATTGCGTAAACCAGTATAATCGCCCACCCCTAATTTTGGTATGATAAACAAATGCTTTAACCACAGCCTACCCCACCCTCTGTACAATAGAAGTATCTGGATTGATGAAACAATGTACCTTCTGTACAATAGAAGTATCTGGATTGATGAAACAATGTACCTTCTGTACAATAGAAGTATCTGGATTGATGAAACAATGTCCATACAGACCAGAAAAATATTCAATATTACAATAACACTGAATAAATGTTATTCAATGTTAAATAAAAGTATTGTCAAGTTGACTCTGACCTTGACATTTGACACATTAATGAAAGTCGAAACTAAATACAAAATATTTATAGCATGCTAAAAGCAGATTTTAAACCAAAGAAGAGGAAAAAGGAACTGTTAAATATTTTTTAGATTTATTAAGAAATCCCTTAAATTCTGTTTATTTGCCTTAAGTTAGAATTTGAAATATTTACAGCTTTGACAATCGGAAAGAGCTTGGTATTAGATATTTTTTGTCCATCGTCTCCAAGGTCTAATTCTGTCACGTGTCTGTACAATCAATTAGATGGCACTATACAAGGCACGGCCTTGCCAGATGGCGCCACTTGCCGAGACGCTATAGCACCCAACAAGCAAAACTATTGATTGTGGTACAAAGTGAGCACTCTTGAAGCTCTTCCTGATGGAGACGAGTTTGTCAGCAGTGATTGTTAAATAATAACTTTTTAATTTCAATTTTGATTTTTGATTGAACAGACTTGAGTTAACATTGAAAATCACATGAATCATTTGTTTTGTTGCCATAGAAACATTGCAGAGCAGCAATCTGTTTTAAAAGGGAATGATTTGGAAATGGAAAAAAAGTTATTGTGTGTGAAAAGGTTTAACTGGGATATTTTGTCAATAGGCTGTAAAATTTTGTGATGATGTCTTAATTTTCCAATTAAAATCAGTATTATTCCCGAGTTAGGAACTGCACCTTTCTTAGTGGGGTGGGAAGTGTTATTTTTTTTTTCATCCCCCAAATTATATTGAACATTTTTTCATCCTCAAAAATTATTGTTGTGAATTTTTTTCATTCAGACAATACATGTAAATGTAAATATAGCTATGATAGAAATGCCGAGAATATTAATTCTGGGTTTTTAAAAATTTGCTGAGCCATCTTCTTACAATATGTCATTTTTCATGGCCACCCCCCTACCCCACCCCTATAATCAATCACCAGTCCCTCAGGGTAGACTTTGGTAATTCATTCATTGAGGGACGATGGGGTAGCTGAGTGGTTAAAGCGTTCGCTCATCACACCGAAGACATGGTTTGATTCCCCACATGGGTACTATATTGCTAAAAGGGTCACAAAACTAAACTCACTCACTCACTCATTCACTGCAAAGACTAATACATGTACCCTAATGTCTGTATGGGGGCTGAAGTTTTCATTTTCAAACATGGCTGAAGAAGTATTCAAAATAGTTCAGTAAGGTTGAATTATTAATTTTTATGTGATTGCCATTTTTGAATATGTTTGAAGAATGAATTAATATAATTTTATGATTGGTCTAGATGCATTATAAAGCAATTATTGAATTAAAGTCTCCCACTGAAAAAATACCCTGACTCTGTCAGCCTCCGAGTATAATATTATCATATTTCATGGTATCATATTTCGGGCTTGTTTTTATTGTGGAACAGCCAAGTCTGGAGTTAGAAATCAGATAGATTCTCCTAGAATGCTATCATCAATTTTGGACATAATGTGTCAAGTTTGTTGTAGATTCACATGAACTGATAACTTTGTGGGTCAAAATATTTGCTCGAGACTAGCTCCCTTTCAGCAATAGCGAATTATTGATCGAAGAACAGGAAAGAGCGCCAGATTAAGGAAATGTTTGCGGGAATGGATTCTATTACCATTGAAGAGTAGTCAAGGGCACGGGGAACGAAATTCATAGAATTGCCGAGAAATTGCAAATTTTCTGATTTGATGCAAGTGAGAAAAGTTAATATCCCTAAGCCTGCTTCATGGTAAAATAAATATTCACAATTTGACAGATAATACAGTTTGTGTTGGCGGTTTGAGTCGGATTGCTTGTCAAGGATGGTTTTGATGGAGCCCACCTCTGTGATGTATGTTTGATAAGCTTGCTAGGAATAGAAGAACGAAACTGATACACTGGCTTACTGGCGTTTTGTGAATCGGGGAATGGGGGTAGTGTTACTGTTGGTTTTTCATAACTCTACATTCCAATTTTACTCATTTGATTCTTAAAAGTTGCGATATGGGCTTCTGGGGTGTGGCTTGAAGGTGTAGGGGCAGGGCTGTTTGTTGAGGAAGAGGGTACTGATCTTTTAGATGGGGGAGTGTCGGGTGTGGCTGTAGCTGGCAAACTTTGTCAAGGGTTGGTCTTATTGTGTATGGCTGATTGAGGAAGCCGGTGGAGATGGGCATGTATGTTGTAGCTGTTGGAGGTGATCTTATTAGGTATGGCTGGTGGAGGGGAGGGAGCTTGGTAGGTGCATGTTACTACAGAGGCACGTAAGAAAGTAAGATTGTTTATGGATAACAATTTCTTTTATTATATATGATGCGACGTTTCGGTATGGATTCTTATACCATTGTCAAGCAGAGGCACAGATAAGCTGCGTATCTGCGTAAATTATGCAAATATTTATGTGAAAACTCAATGCCTATTACGTCTATTGCGTAAAAGTATGCTTGAATTTTTGTAAATACTCAATAAATTTGATCTTACATGCATACACATAAAAATGTCAAATCTTAGCTTGCGTACTGTAGCACTCAGAAAACCTACTAGAATTAGAAGTAAGCAGACCCATGCATCACAGATGGAGGTTATTGAGGATAGATAAAATAACTGAGATATATTGTGAGGTTCTATTTCAGCATATGAACTTGGCAACATGCAGTCTTTCTTATATTTTCTCATATAACAGATCAAATATAGATAACACACACGTAAAATAGCATTTAAACTTTATTCTATTTTCACAAATAATGGAAAATGACAAAATACCCAATTGAGTTTGAGTGAGGAGGATATAATTTATTTGGTTCCTCATAGGAAAATTAGGATACCCAATTGAGATGAACACAAACGAGTACATAAGTCAATGACCCAAAAAGTTATCGGTAGCTCTGTTACTACTAGGCTAGACTGTCCCTGATTCCTCTAATTCTTGTTCTCAGTAGGCTTAATGTGGTGTTCCCAATAGGCCAGGAACAGGGGTGGCCCCGTTATATCAGCTGCTGTAATTCACTGTGCAGAGATGCAAGCCTTGGCTCAACAGAAACCATGACTTGAATCCCAGTTTGCCCCTAGGTTAGATGCAGATTTCACCAAAGAGGTGATCCCAGGATCCTCATTACTTCAAACTGTCCTTCCTTCTAAAGCTGACAATCAAGTGATGATATAATTGAAACAGTGGCTCAATCAGCATTGAAACAAACTCTACTCACTCACTTCTGAACTAAGTCATTTCTGGTGTCCCATGCGGTGATGTTGCTGGAATATTGCTAAAAGCGGCATAAAACCAAACTCACTCACTCCTCACTCTGAACACAAAGTGTGAAGCCCATTATACCTAACCCTGGAATATTGCTAAAAGCGGCATAAAACCAAACTCAGTCAGTCAGTCAGTCAGTCTTAGATCTTACATTCATAAAAGACTCAGTTTGGATTCCCAATAGGACAGATTTGGTGTTCCTAGCAGGCAAGACTTCCTGCTAAGACACACTGTGTTCAACGTGGGAGATTACTCTTTTGTTTTATCAAAGTTTCAATCATTGATGTTACACTTTGGTTGGTGAGTTGTCTTTGAAAGTTCAGCACCTCCATATTTGTAAAACCAACTCAGTATGTTCATAAAATCAATGCCACTGAATTGCTAGTACAAGAAAATAAGAATCAGACTATAAAACACTCGAAATATGCAAGAAAATCTCCCAGTAAACTTTCACTGTGAAAGAATTAATTCCATTCAAGTTCAGTCACAGTTTTTGAAGCTGCATCAGTAACAACGTGTAACATTTGCACTACCACAAAGTCATAACAACATATGTAGCATACAGAATGGCAAGATGTCAGCGGAGCAAACCTGCCTCGCGATACTTTAAACACGGAGGTGGAGGGACAAACATGGACGCCAGCATCTACACACTCCCTACCACATGGAGGGGGCCAGAAGTATGCTAATATCTCTCGGTATGCTTCTGACTTATTGAAGCTATTGTAAGGCGAAGTTTAAACTATTTGTAAGGTGATGGCCCGAGATGTTTATGGTGGGGTGTTTGACACAGAGGAAGCATGTTTGCCTGGCTCTGAAGGGCCGGGTTCTGGCACTGTGGTTCTCGTTGTCCTTATTTAGGGATCAGAGTTGGGAGATCAGTGCTCCCTACTTGGTTCTTGGAATCCGTTTAAGTCAGTTTACAGCTGTGTATAAAAAGCTTGTACCCAATTCTAGAAAGGTATGGTTTTGTGCTGCTTTGTTTTGACAGTCACAGTGAGGGGTGTGAAATCTGTGTGTGAACTAAACTTTTGATTCTGACTGTCATAACATTTCTAACAAACTATCCTTACTTACTTGGAAAATCTGAAAGGAATTCTAAAAATGATGCATGAGTGAGTGAGAGAGAGGGAGTCAGTCAGTATAGTTTTATGCTGTATTTAGCAATATCACAGCAGGGGACACCAGAAATGGGTTTCACACATTTTACCCATGTGGGGAATCGAACCCAGTTCTCATGCATGACAAATGAGTGCTTTAACCACAAGACTTCTGCCTACATCATATGGGTATGATATAGTATGGTGAGGTGAGGGGAGGTGAAATTGGGTTTAACATCATGCTTGAGAATATTTCGCTCATATGACTGCCGACATGCATGCGTGTGTATGTGTATGTGCGGCTGCTTGTACTAGCCCAGACTTAAGCTGGTTTTATAGTGCAAGCTCACTGAGATACCATGCCGCAGTGAAGCATGAATACCCCACTCAGACACAAAATACTGACTCCGAGCCGACCAGTCCTTGTTGTACCCATTAATGCCGAGCGCCAGGCAGGGACCAACAAGTACCATATTTTAAGGTCTTTTGGTATGACGTGGCCAGTGATCTAACCCGCGACCTTCCGCACTCCAGGCGGACGCTCTAACCACTACACCACGGAGGCGGTCTGATATTGTATGGTATGGATATGATATAAATCAGTATGACAAGGATGTGGGTAGAATAAGGATAGTGTTTGATATGGGTATGCTGAATGGTATCATGATGTGGGCATGGTATGGTATAATATGTCTATGGTATGGGTATGATATAAATCAGTATGACAAGGACGTGGGTAGAATAAGGAAAGTGTTTGATATGGGTATGCTGAATGATATCATGATGTGTGCGTGGTATGGTATAATATGTCTATGGTATGGGTATGATATTGGTCTGGTATGGCATGATATGGATATGACACAATATGGTATTGTGAGTGAGTGAGAATGCTTTTACGCTGCTTTTAGCAATATTTCTGCAATATCACGGCGGGGGACCCCCGAAATGGGCTTCACATAGTGTACCCATGTGGGGAATCGAACCCAGGTCTTCGGCGTGACGAGCGAACACTTTAACCACCAGGCTACCCCAATCACCTGGTATAGATATAGCATTATCTTTTTGGACATATATAGTGTATATAGTATAGGTATGGTTTGGCAATGATGCCTATACAAGTAGGATCAGTAGTATTTAACTGCCTCAAATAAATAAACCTACAATAAAATGTTAATAGTCACCGTAATTTTCATATGTATCACAAACTGATCCATGGATTCCAATTTTTATTATGTTGTTTATAAAAAAGCAAGAAAAGTATAGTGGGAAAATAATCAGGGATAATGATTGTACTGTCGAGTACACTAACAATTTTCATATTTCCACCTGTAGTCCCGTAATTTTCTATATGTAACAAACTGATAATGGATTAAAATATTTGCAGAAAAGTCAACATAGATAATTGTATGTTAATATCATACACTGCCTGGATCTCATGCAACATGTCTACCATTAACAGACAACATAGTAACATGTGGTATTTAGTTTTTCTGTTATATGGTCTTTTCGCCATCTTTTCTTTTATGTCAAATCTTTGATATTTTGATATTCATTCAATCATATTTGCACGACTTCATTTAACGCATGAATGTGTAACTCTCATTTGGGATGTAATTAAAACGTACTAATGCTTTGGGTCTGTCAAACAAACATGATATAAAGTGACTTTGGTGTTCCAGCCATTGTCCCCAAAGTTTGCTGTGGGCCAAAACAAAAGTTTCTCATGAAATGTCAAAGTTTTTCAAACTTGTGGCCACAGACCAGTGTATGCATTGGCTGTTTGTTCAACAGTGCCAAACACGTTTACTGTTTTGTCGAAGCACTACCTCCTAATCTAATCCCCTGTAAACCGTTGATCGCGACAAGCCTCACTCTGGCCTTCCACAGGCTGTTTCATGTCAATATTTGCTAGTTCAGAGTTGCTATTGTTTCTTAAATGTCCACACAGATGTTTCAAGACAACGTAGATTTATCCGCATTGTTTACTGGGCTGCTACACCATGACAGTGACCTTGAAATCTGACGGCTTTTTTAACTAGCCCAAGTCTTCGTTTGGCATTCTGTGACAATAATCAGATGTAGTGGTTCAGTTTCGAAGAGGCCAGGTGAATGCAAGGAGACAAGCAATTAGCGACGATGTGATAATTTCATTTCCCAAATTGACACGTTCTTGCTATGCTGTGAAGGCCAGTCATTAGCATGATGTGATTAACAGTAATTAGTTGATTATACTTTCCAAGTGGATGTTGTTTTTGAAAAAAAACATTTTAGAGAATTCCTTGCCAGGAATTTGTCAAGTCTCATTTAGAAGAGCTGAGATTGATAGTTGTCTGGAAGACATGATTCTGTGGGACCTTCAACTAATCAGATGATTGCTCTTCTCTGGTGATGGCAACTTTCATGAACTTATGTGCTACTTACCAAACAACTATGATTACTTTCCTCTCAGGTTACCTCCACGTCCACCATGGTAAGTTAACTAGATACTTCCTCATCAAAAATTTAGCTTGGCATTTAGAAGGTGCAACGTGACAGTGGACATGCTGAGAGTTTTGCCTACCTAGTATATCCAAGGGCAGTAATTATTGGCAGCGGCATGAGTTCTTTGAAGACTGCTCCAGGTGATGTTAAGGTCAATGGATGATCATTAATTAATGACTATGTATGTTAATGTATCTTGAGTCTCTATTGGGTTAAAACCACTGTCTTATTGTCAAATTTTGTGACTGTGCTTGATGTTATGGATAGGGCAGGACATCATATTTGTTAACATGATATTTGTTAAAGCACCACTTTACATTACTGATTTTCAGTGACCTATACCTTTATTTTGTCTTTTATGCCGAATGGATTCTGTGGCAATAGAATGTCATTCTTGGTACTGACGTTTTATATTTCTGAAATATTTGCAGTTTTAATTTCAACAATTGCAGATAGTTTCAAATCTTGTATGTGTATTTGTGTATCAAAATACGTCTTAGGTTCATCATCAGATGTTTTTACTTCTCATAGTTTCTTCATCTGAACAATATTTTCTGTACAGTTGATTCTTCAAAACGTGCCGGCCTGTATATAAGTTTGAATTTCAGA